TGTGTGAGTGTATGTGTGTGTGTGTGTATGTGTGTTGTGTATGTGTTGTGTATGTGTGTGTATGTGTGTGTGTTGTGTGTGTGTGTTGTGTATGTGAGTGTGTATGTGTGAGTGTATGTGTGTGTGTGTTGTGTGTGTGTATGTTGTGTATGTATATGTGTGTGTGTTGTGTGTGTGTGTTGTGTATGTGTGTGTGTATGTGTGTGTGTGTGTTGTGTGTGTGTGTGTGTGTGTATGTGTGTGTGTGTGTGTGTGTGTGTGTGTGTGTGTGTGTCTCAGATCTTGAAAGCAGGAATGTTTACGTACAACAGGGGCAACACAATAATTACTTGGTTTCATGGATTAGCTTAAAGTGCCATAAAATGAAGAAGAAGATCGAAATATGCATGGATGCTATTTATGAAGGAACTAAAACAAAATACAACAACAAATGTTGTCTGTTCTTTGTGCTGATTGAAAATTGTTGTCACGAATGCCTGTGTTATTAGAGTTAAGAACGTGTTGTGTATTGTAAACGTCAGAGACCTTCATCACTTCGGGCTTTCCTTCTGCATTAAACATAACCACCGTGATATACGGGTATCGGGTATACTGTTAAAAGCGGCTGAAACTCAATCACTCACTCCTGAGATAATTTTGAAAGTCACTGACCAGAGAAAAAAATCATCTGTATTTTTTCATACCTTGCAGGTCATTCTCTAACACTCTTTGAGTCTATCACGGAAACATGATTAAATGTAGCAATATTCCTCATGTCAACAAATATAAAAGACCGCCTCCGTGGTTCAATGCCCGACCAAGTCATAGCAAAAGTCGTCAAAAGAAGGTATTTGTTGTTTCCCTGCCTGGCGATCGACAGAAAGGGGCTAAAACAAGGACTGGTCGATTAGCTCCAGTGTCATTACAAACAAAGAAATAGATCGAAATATGCATGAGTGTTATTCATGAAGATACGAATTAAACACAATAAAAAAACCATGTATATATATCTACCAAAAAGTGAAATAGGGCGTGATGCGTGTTGGCTGTGTCAAACGCAAATGTGAATGGGTATAGCCACTGCCCAACCCAGAGTGAATCGGCGTAACGTGAATAGGTATAGCCTCTCCCCAACCCAGAGTGAATCGGCGTAATGTGAATAGGTATAGCCACTCCCGAACCCAGAGTGAATCGGCGTAATGTGAGTAGGTATAGCCACTCCCCAACCCAGAGTGAATCGGCGTAATGTGAATAGGTATAGCTACTCCCCAACCCAGAGTGAATCGGCGTAATGTGAATAGGCATAGCTACTCCCCAACCCAGAGTGAATCGGCGTAATGTGAATAGGTATAGCCACTCCCTAACCCAGAGTGAATCGGCGTAATGTGAATAGGTATAGCCACTCCCTAACCCAGAGTGAATCGGCGTAATGTGAATAGGTATAGCCACTCCCTAACCCAGAGTGAATCGGCGTAATGTGAATAGGTATAGCCACTCCCTAACCCAGAGTGAATCGGCGTAATGTGAATAGGTATAGCCACTCCCCAACCCAGAGTGAATCGGCGTAATGTGAATAGGTATAGCCACTCCCTAACCCAGAGTGAATCGGCGTAATGTGAATAGGTATAGCCACTCCCTAACCCAGAGTGAATCGGCGTAATGTGAATAGGTATAGCCACTCCCTAACCCAGAGTGAATCGGCGTAATGTGAATAGGTATAGCCACTCCCCAACCCAGAGTGAATCGGCGTAATGTGAATAGGTATAGCCACTCCCTAACCCAGAGTGAATCGGCGTAATGTGAATAGGTATAGCCACTCCCTAACCCAGAGTGAATCGGCGTAATGTGAGAAGCTACATGTGGCCACTCCCCTACCCAGAGTGAATCGGGGTCATTGAATGTCTAAAATGCAAATTGATCTGGGTTTCGCGTCAGGATACTGTAAATAAAACGTTTGTTGTGTGCTGTTTAGCGCCGCACTCAGCAATATTTCACATTCCAGCTGTGTGACAGCGGCCTTTAAATAACCGATCATAGGATGCTGTAGTACAAAGCGATCTCAACGCTAAGTTGGATTGTCTGGTCAAGACTCGAGTATTTACAGGCCGCCGTCATACAGCTGGAATATTCCTGAGTGCGGCGTTAAACAACAAACAAACAAACAACCTGATTAGAATAGATCTTTAGGAAACTGGCCGTAGGAGGGGAGAAAGTGGATCGGGGGATGAGGATCGGTGACTTGTAGATTGCACGTCATCGTGCCCCGATTACACATTCTCCAGCCTTATAACGACGGGCTGTAAAATTCTGAACCAAACAATCCACTGATTCATATAATGAACAACAGATTGTCACATTGAATCGATTTCACAATATCAGTCATTGGCTTATGCGATTAAGGCTATGTTATTACACAGCCCGTCGTCCTAAAGCGGGACTATTGTTAAACATCGATCCAATAACAGAGTTCAAGCGAACTGTAACGCTCGGCTACCTTATCGGATGACCAGGATTGCTGGCTATGTTGACATAGATATGATCTATGATCATCTATGTGTTTAGTAACGTGACACGGCACAAAGCATCACTGACCTATAGTGTACGGTATGTACGAAATACGAGACGAGGAATGATTGTGACTGAGACTACTAAAACTAGTGTCGTCTCCATATGACTAGAAAAATGCAGATGCGACATTAAACTTTAACTTACTGCTACTGTTTGTTTTTTGCTTGTTAAAACAATCCACAGATTTTTGCGTTAAATGTAATTGATTGATATATGGCCCTATTCAGTTGTATGAATGTGACAGATCATGGCAATACGCTCTAAATAAATCAGGTTAAAATCTAAATATATACTTTTCAAAGTTAAGAAGACTATGGTTAATTAGTCATGACAAATTGTTTTGCAAAAATACAATCATATAATTGTGGGTGTTCTATAACTAGTTTTCGGTAGTATATGATGTAACAGTGTGTCATACTGTTGTCCGTAAACATTCTTTTTGTCATTATCCTATGTGATGTATGTTTAACTTGAATTGTGTTTCTTGTCTTGTGCAAATCTACAAATATATGAACTTGCATAAAGTAATTTGATGAACAACGCTGTGAGCTTGTGATTGAGAATGGTTTCACGTTGCTTTTAACAATAATCCAGTAATATCACGGGGAACACCAGAAATGGGCTTCACACATTGTACCCATGTTGGGAATCGAAATGGGACTTCGGCTTGACGCGCGAACGCTTTAACCACAAGGCTACCCCACTGCCCCCATCGCCATGGCGTTACCACAGTTGATTTGTGTACTTTTGTAAACTACACATATGGAGAGAAAAAAAAATTAGGGTGGCCACATAGTTGGTTGATAACAATATGAAATGCATTACTATGATTATCTATAACATATATTAAATCAGCTATCATTGTAATATTTTATCATGTATATCTTAAGTATAGTTTTGTCAAAATTATGTATGTATGCGTTTGTGTTTGTGTGTGTGTCCGACTCATTGTCTGTATTATGAACAAAATGAAAACATGAACAGCGACTATCTTTATTCTGTGAATCTTGCGTATTTACTACACTACAAGAAAATGTACAAGCAAAACGAGAAAACATTATGTGTGCATTTGTAACATATTTATCTACTACAAGATGTTTAAAAAATCTTATCATAAGAGGCAAAATAGCGGTGAGAATTACAGGAATGGATCACTAAATATCAGCAAAAACCGTTTTAATGTACGGCATTATGGGAAATATCGCTTTCTCGCTCTATCGCTTTCTCGCTCTTTCGCTTTCTCGCTCTTTCGCTTTCTCGCTCTATCGCTTTCTCGCTCTATCGCTTTCTCAGATGACTAACCATAGTCATATGAAAGAATCGGGTTTCTTTAACTTCTTTTGAATAGTATGTACTGTAAATCTTGAATATTAACGTTAGAGTTAATTATAAATGCAAAAAATGAGAATAGACTTAATTAATTATACTTTGCATTTATGTCTCAGAAATGGCTGTTGATAAGACGGCCTCACTGCACACTTTGAATAGCGGAAATCCCAACTTGAATATAAAACCAATCAACTATCTATTTCCACATTACGATTCCTGAGAACAAAATGTCATCAAAAAACTAGAAATTACATATGGACATCCGGAAGTATTACCATTGTTTGGGTGAGGACTTCCACTTTGATGACATCTACTCCACAAACAGAATAAACATTGATATAAGCGTGGTTTTTAGGAAAAAAACTATTGTTTTTTCAGGAAGTACGTACTACTCAGCGCTAATGAGCGGTGTTATTTGCTATTTGTTTTGATAACTTGGCCTGGGGGCGGTGCATGCAATAAAACTCCTAAATTCCTTTTTACGCAGAAATACGTGGATTGGTTTAAAAGCACCCATGTCTGTACTGTTAAATTATGTTCAAGTAGATAGTGAGAAATTTCAACATTCTGTCCATCTGTATAATTTGTAATGTGACTGGAAAAATCTCAGCTCTGTTTTATGATTAAAACCCCTCCCCCAATGAGGTCAGGTTTAACTATTCATTAATGTGGTTTTATGTATATACTTTTTATCGTAAAGAAACCCATCTAGTGGCCAAGAGGGAATATTGCTATACCGCGAGAAAGCGACTGAGCGAGTCAGCGAGAAAGCGAGAGAGCGAGAAAGCGATGACCCCACTCGGCCACAATAGATAATACTTTTCGATATATAAATTATTGCTGATCACGTAGGCCTTTATGAAGCAAGTATCCAACAACATTTTGAAATCTATGTGTTCATCACGTGTTGCGTGTTGCGAAAGAATCACTTCATGTGTATCATATAGCCCCAGTGTGCTAATTCTGATGACCAGCTATTGTTGTCTTTCGCAATATCAAGATTGGACTTTAGATACCGTAGAACGTCTTGTACTTGCTCACCTTATATAATCCGAACAACGTAAGTCGTTTAACGTTCGCATTATTCACTGCGTTACGTGACTGACTGTCAGGCCGTGGACGGCGCATAAAGTGAATGATTATTTATTAGAAGAAATGCGGCACATGTATAAGTACACCATCATATGACATGGCCAGTTGCTATATAATAGTTTCATAATTTTCTGGTCACATCACTCACAGATGTCGGACCGCAGGATGATACCACAAGCGGCTGTAGCATGCATCATAGGCATTGTGCTCGTCTCGCCGTGTTTGTCTGAGACTTGCGTGAAGATCAGTTCTTGTTCTTGCCAGACTTCTCAAGGAAAATTTGACCTTTCACCTCTCGCCTACGGAGACGGAACACCCAAGTAAGTTATGGTTCGGTATCCATCAAAGCATCATTTATATTACAAAAACCAAAATGTAATTTTCCATACATTGCCAGTTCAAATGTTTAGCGGTCACTGTTAACTCTGACCTGAGCCAAATTACAACCCCCACCCCCCACGGGGACCTGGGGTTATTTCGGCAACGGTGGAAACTGAACTGAACTGGACACGATTATTTACAGACCGCCGTCATATAGCTGGAATATTGCTGAGTGCGGCGTTAAACAGCGAATTGTGCTTTATCCACCTTCCAAAACAGACCACTCACCACTCAACCACTCACTCATTATCACTCACCAATCACTCACAATAATCTCGACCCGTGAAGATCCGGGGTAGAATAGGTCTTCAGCAACCCAGGTTTGCCGTAAAAGGCGACTAACGGGATCCGGTGGTCAAGATCGCTGACGTGGTTGATGCATGTCATCGATCCCAATGGCGTGGATCGATGCTCATGATATCAATCACTTTATTGTCTGGTCCAGCCTCGATTATTTACAGACCGCCGTCATATAACTGAAATATTGCTGAGTGCGGCGTAAAACAACCAACCAACCAACCACAATGAACTCAATTACTCAACATCCCACCCACACATTCACTCACTCAACCACTGACCCACTTACTCACTCACCCACCCACTCACTGTTATTGACTTTCGCTACAGGTTCCGAGACGCGCCAGGTCCAGCTGGTGCCTGGTTTTACTCCTACAACCCTTGTGTTGGCTTCTCAGAGGGGTCTGGCCCGTGTGAACTCGTTGCGGTAAATTTATATAATTCTTCGTCAAGTAGTGCTTTATGAGGGCGCGGGTGGTCGTGGTCCAATCGCTTCAAGCGCTACATTTCACTGTGGGGAGTTGCGTCCCTTGGGCGTACCAGAAACCACTGATAGTGGTACCAATCCCTGTTTCGCCATGATTTTTTTCTAGTAATGTCTACTTATGTTAATTTGTTGTTGTGATTTGTGTTATAATTCAATTATTTTCCTTCCCGTGATACGTTTACATCACCAAGAACGGGGTATAAAATTAATTATTCCTGTACTTTCTCAGTGTATTATATATCCGTCATACTCTGATAAATACCCTCGACTCTTCTCCGATATAGCCTCGATTTGAGTCCGTTAGGAAATAAACGCTAAAATAGCCATTCAATAAAAAAACATGAGAATTTATTTTGTACGTTTCTTACCCATTAGGGAGAACAGCTGTGGACGTCACGATGGTAGTGAAAGGGTCCATTGTATTTGACATAAAAATGGGAAAATAATACTCTGTATTATCGAGGATGTACTTTCCTCGGTGTATTGTTCAATACATCAACAATTTACTTCTGAGGTGGTTGTGTATTGGGCTATTGGAAACTATGAATATTTCGCTTATTCTTTCGCTGTGACGAGTTGCGTCCCTTGGGCACGCCAGAAACCTACGATTTAGGCCTCGAAACCCGGTTCACCCCGATTATGTTCGTAGGTATGTCAGCTCTAAACCAGTGCTCGTGGCTTTCACCAAAGTGGTAAACGTCTGAGACCTGCATCACTTCGGCTTTCTTCCCACATTGGGGGCACGGGTGGCCCATTCGTCTAAGTCGTCGCGATTCACTGTGCAGACTTGCGTCCCTTGGGCACGCCAGAAACCAATGATTGTGGGTGCGAATCCCGGTTCGCCTTAATTATGTTTCTAGGTTGGTTTGTCAGCAACATACCCTTGCTCGTGGTTTTCACCTAAGTGGTAAACGTCTGAGACCTGCATCACTTCGGGCTTTCCTCCCACATGCCGCGATACAACTTGAATGTTGTAAGAAGCGGCGTTAAACCCAACTCACTCACTCACTCGTCAATGGTTAATACAATGAAATAATGTTTCCCTGTCATTATTGTATCTGACGGAAATGATGGGATTCAAATATACTTGTTAATGATCATACAAGTATATATACTGTGTGTGCAGAACATATTTCAGCGTTTCGGCGTGCCAGCGTATGAGCATACTTTGCCCATAAGCTTACGACTGACATAAATTATATATTACATAGAATATGAGTACATAAGATTGGGAACGTGGTACATTTGTACGAATGAGCAAATGGATGGATTTTAATGTCGCTATGATCGGGGGCCATTGGGCAGCGTGGTAGTTGAAGCGTTTGTTCGGTTAACCACGCGAATACAAAATTTGAAGCCGTAATATTTCTGAACTATTGCTGAATACGGTGTAAAACCGACCTCACACACTCCGCGACCCGGGAAAATCAGGGGTAGAATAGGTCCTCAGCAACCCATTCTTGCCGTAAAAGGCGACTAACGGGATCGGGTGGTCAGGCGGGCTGACTTGGTTGAAGCATGTCATCGATCCCAATTGCATGGATCGATGGTCATGATATCAATCACTGGATTGTCTGGTCCAGACTCCATAATTTACAGACCGCAGTCATGTAGCTTGAATATTGCTGAGTGCGGCGTAAAACGAAAAAAAACACACACTCCGCAATAGTCACTGAAGCGTGCGTAAAATATAATTGTCAGTACGGAAATGTGTTCTCCTCTCACAATTGTAGCAAATGTCTTACTGAATGTTAGGATTCAAGTCGTCTTTAAAAATATACTGGTTATGTTTCATACATCAACAAACTTCAACAGTATTTCAACTGTAAAGTCACTGCGGTGTAGCATTTGGCCGGAGGAAAGCCCAAAGGGCCGGAGGAAAGCCCAAAGCTATGCAAGTTCTTGTCTGTCCCTCACATGCATTAAAACATTCAATTTCGCTCCGTGGTTACCATTTGGTTTGGATCTGAAACATTTCCCATCATCTGGGGTTGTTGTTTGTAGGTGTGTCAGACTGACAAATCGACGATGTCCTTCAGCCTAGGAGCTGCGAACTCGACAGTATTCAAGAACTCCGCCAACGTATGGCAGGTGGTGTATACATCACTTGGCAGTACTGTGAGGTAAACCTTTCACACATTCCGTCTTTGGGTAGAGCGAGTGAGTGAGAGCTGTTATACGGCACACACAGCTATATTTCTGCTTTGAAGCTGTCAATAATCGACCCGTGAGTCGACCCGTGAAGATCCGGGGTAGAATATGTCTTCAGCAACCAATGCTTGCCGTAATGACTTGGTTGATGTATGTTATCGATCCGAATTGCGTGGGTCGATGCTCATGATATCAATCACTGGATTGTCTGGTCCAGACTCGATTATTTACAGACCGCCGTCATATTGCTGGAATATTGCTGAGTGCGGCTTAAAAGAACAAACCAACCAACCAATAATCGAGTCTCAACCAGACACACCAGTGGCTGGTAGATGATAGTTCCACTCATCAATATATCGTGGCGTTTGGGTAGCCTAGTGGTTAAAGCATTGGCTCGAACCCAGGTTCAGTTATGGTTTGTTCACACCACAAGTTTGTTTTTTGCTATAGAGTAAAAAATGATACTTATTCACTTATTCAAAAACGTATCGAAGGTACATGATACGTTCCAATACAATGAAAACACATGTATGATACACATCCACATTACTTTATCAACAAGTCGACCGCCTCCGTGGTCTAGTGGTAGAGCATCCGCCCGGAGAGCGGAAGGTCCGGGATTTGATCCCCAGCCGCGTGATACCAAAAGACGTTAAAAGAAGGTACTTGTTGTTACCCTGTCTGGCTCTCGGCATTAAGAGGCTAAGACAAGTATACTGTGTCTGAGTGGGGTATTCATGTTAAACTGCAGCATGTATCTCAGCATCTTCCCGAGGCAAGAGAGTTAACTGACAATTTAAAGTCCAGTTTCCACCCTTGCCGAACTCGGCTGGTATTATGGAGTTAGAATCTGGCTGGACTAACATGTCTTTGCATTGTCCAATCAAAATCGTTAACCGAAATCGAAATCAGGTTCGTAAACTGTCATGCAGAGTTCGGTCGATTGCAGGATTTGCAAAGTATGTGCAATTTGTTGTCAACATATATTTCCAAATCTTTTCAAGTTTTTAATCAAGGTGCTCACATGATTTGATGCACTTCGCGATGTTAGTCCTGTTTTATAACAATATAGATCTTGATTGTCGATCAGATCGTCTTGTCTTGGCGCCACCCATTTAGTTTGTAACAAATGCAAGTGATACGAGAGCTGGAATCTGATTGGTAGGAGAGACAAAGAAGGGACATAACTCATAACAGCCACTGGTGGCACTACAATCGAGCCCAGGAATTCCAGCCTTGTTCGGCAAGGGTGGAAACTGGACTTTTATAGTCAGTTAACTCTCTTGCCTCGGGAAGATGGTATCTCATTGAGCTAGCACTAAAAAATCGGCTTTTATCCGGACAAGTGCAAGCAGCCACACGCACACACACATGTGCATGCACTACGTTATATAAATGAAATACTTGTATAAAACCTATTTACCTCACCACACCTCATCAACAAGTCAGTTGAATGGATGCATTTTGTAGACTTGTACGTAACCGCACTTTGTGTTCTGACTATGGTATGTTTTTTACCTGACATATTATAAGTTTGTTAGTTTGTAGTTTAACGCGGCACTCAGTAATATTCCAGCTATATTCAGCGAATCTGACCACCCGATCCCGTTAGTCGCCTTTTAGGGCAAGCATGGGTTGCTGAAGACCTATTCTATCCCGGATCTTCACGGGTCGACATATATAAAAACTATAATTATATTGTGGAAGTTTTTCAGTTCAAAAGACCATGCTTTTGTAAGCATGTTTTTATTTCTCCCAAATTGAAAAATATCAGGATTAAATACAAAAAATTGCAGTGAAAATGTTCCGACCCTGTTTAGTGAAAATTTCTGATTGACAGGAACAATGTTTTGATGTGTTTATGGGCGATTCTCCTGTACATTGTTAATGTGCAAATAGAATAAAAATGAAAACGAGATAAATATATTCGCAAGAAATGAAATAAACATAATGTAAAAGAAAACCAAAAGAATATAATGAAAATCGAAAGAATGAAACAAATAAATGTAGTTAATTTAGGATAAAGGAAAATGTGAAAACATGTAATTAAGACAGTAACGGAAAGAACGCATGGCCAAAAACATAATCGAAATCGGAAGTATTGCTCTACGAGAATTCCATAAAATGGCTGTGTTTATGACAAGTAAAATAAACAAACCAGGAGTCGCCAGGGAACACTACGGCCGAAGAATATATCAGTATCATAACATACGTTTTCAAAAATGTCAACGAAAATATCAAATAGGAATTTTCACAGAAGTATTTGTTCCTTGTTTTGAAATTCACCATGAAGAAAACTTCATGAGCATACTTGGGGGAAGTAAATTTATATGTTATAAACAATCCAATCTGTAAAACCAATAAATGATATTTATTTAAAAAATGATCATAAGCCAATTACATTTACACAGGTCCGTTGTGTTGGAGCAAGTTTTGTTTGTTTGCTTGTTGTTTATCGCCGCACTCGGTAATATTCCAGCTCTATGACGGCGGTCTGGTTGGTTGGTTTGTTGTTTAACGCCGCACTCAGCAATATTCCAGCTATATGACGTCGGTCTAGAAATAACCGAGTCTGGACCAGACAATCCAGTGATTGACATCACGAGCATCGATTCACGCCATTGGGATACGATGACATGCATCAACCAAGCCAGCGAGCCTGACCACCGGATCCCGTTAGTCGCCTTTTACGGCAAGCTTGGGTTGCTGAAGAGCTATTCTAACCCGGATCTTCACGGGTCTGGAGCAAGTTAACCGAACTAACTACATGCGTGTATTTCTTTCAGAACATCTACGGTAACACTTGTTTGTGACCCGAATGAACCGGGAAACTTCACGGCACAAGGAGAGAATCCCCAGGGCAGCGCGAATTATGTAAGAAGCTGATCATCATTCCTTCAAGTTTAGTTAAAGTCAAATATTTACTCCGTTTTGCCTCTTTGAGTGTGGATCTAACAAACCGGCCATATCAGATAACAACATTTTGTTTGTTTGTTTGTTGTTTAACGCCGCACTCAGCAATATTCCAGCTATATGACGGCGGTCTGTAAACAATCGAGTCTAGACCATATAATCCATTGATTGACTTCATGAGCATCGATCCACGCAATTTGGATCGATGACATGCATCAACCAAGTCATCGAGCTTGACTACCTGATCCCGTTAGTCGCCTCTTACGACACGCATAGTCGACTTTTAGACTATTCTGTCTCTAATTAACTTACACTATCTAATTATCTAACTCACGTCGCGAATTGCAACGCCTTAAACCACTGGCCACCTCTCCTTGACGTGGGTTCGAATTCCTGATTCGGCCCCGTGATGATGCTTGGTCTGTCATTACCATACCTATGCTCGTGGTGCAAGCATCAACGACGTCCGTCCCCTTTGGCGTTGCTCCTATTTCAATAAACTTACTGAACAAGTTATTTTCTTTTCAGTATTTCACACTGACGTCAAGCAACGCTTGTTTCATACCCAACCCCACAACACCCCTTATACCCACGTCTACAACTATGAAACCGCAATCGACGACGTCAGCCGCGCCCGGGTCACTGCCTCATTTCCTCTACATGTTGTCCGTATACATCGTGGGTGTATCATGTAAGTCAATGTTCAGTTTCCGTTGTACTGACTTCAGCGGAACAGGAGTAGGTTCGTCGGGTTGAACTCCACGTAAACAGTATGTCAGACGTTACAGCACCAATAACAATGGAATATGTTCATCCTGGCCTTTAATTATCAAAGTCAAATTTTTTGGGCAAATCATGGAAATAACAAAATGTATCTAACAAAGTGCTTACTACCTGTGGTTGGAAAGGTTAGACAGCAACAACGAGAACAGGGTAGATTTTAGGAGGGAACATCAGGCCAAAGTAGGAGTGAAATATTGCTTAAGTCCAAAGGAACACTAGTGAAACAATCTGTAACAATATGACAAAGGCTGAAAGATACCAACCTTCACAACTATTTGCGATCATTATAAATGATAATCTCTTTACTTATTTCAGTGCGTAGCTGTGACCACTGATCAAAAACTAATGTATTCTACGAGGAAGTCGAATGAAGTGTCTCCTGGCATGTCAAGGACCACGGAACAGACCCATGTGGAATAGTTCAAATTTCTGATAATCTCATTAAAATCAGAACTTAGTTCTCGCTACCGCCAAACAAAGATCTGAGGACATCCCATTAGGGCACACGTCAGAACGACCTTTCATCCGACTAATCAGAGCGTCGCTTACCAGATCATGAAAGTGAGAGTCGGAATGTGATTTCTAATCATGCAACCTCGAACACTGTAACACGGGGTATTCCGAACGATAGTTACAGGTTTAACGACTGAATCCATACAATCTAGACTATCTATTAGCCATTCCAGAATGTTCTCTTGTTCAGGTTTCAAATATTTAATCGAAAGTTTGTCAAAATATGTTTGGAAGCGTAGTCGCCATTTTGAAATTAGTGTCGCACGCACGAGAAAGCTGCCTTCTGATTAGCTAATGTCGACTTCTTGTCGGTCATTCGATTGGTCGGTCAGAGTTCGCGATTGTTGGTCAAAGTTCGCGTCTGACATGACCCGTAATGGTATGTCCTCAGATCTTTGTTTAGCGGTAGCGAGAACTAAGATATGATTTTAATGAGATTGAATTTCTGTCTGCGATATCTCATGACACACAAAATGTAAATGTAAATGGCCTATAACAGTCGGCACAGACCCGCTGGTGATATCGCAACCCGTCTGCACAACTACTGTCTTGTCACCATGAGATCATCGACGATGTATTTGACAAGAGCCATTTTGTCCTTTACCATGTCCGTTGTCACGCCATCATCGATTGGAGCGGAGTCCTGAAGCAAATCATCCTACATATCCACCAGCACCTCTGATCCTGTTTCAAGCAGAAAATCACCTTCTTGGCTCCATCTATGTGACTTGGACCAATAAAATGGCTCAGACTTTTGTTGGAATGTTTTGGTTATGTTTTTTTGGTCATCTGGTAGCTGTTTAGAAAGGTCGTCTCGATACAGATGTTGACAAGGTGTCACAAGTATTCGTGAATTCAGGTGAATATATTATCAGTATTAAAACATCTGCCTTGATCGTATCGATAGATTAAAGGATGAAGGGACATGGAAAAATCGGGTAAGGTAAAACTGTTATTTTTTCAGGTATTATGATGTTAACCTAATTCTATTTTATCTGTGTCTCGATAGCCATTTGAGCGGTGGTAAATCGTCGGGGGAAAACCTGAAGGATTAACCATATGTTTCTTGGTGGCTACGAACTGATTATGTCCTGGCCTCAGTTGGCCATTATGGACTGTGGTAAAAGGACATTATTGGTACACTAAGTGGGAACTGGGTCGGATTGTCGTGAGCTGTGAATGGTGTGATGATGAAGAGATTGACATTGACTTTGAGAATGAGGCTTGAATGAAAAAGATGATGTTTGCTGTCATAATCAGTAGTTTATTCAGCTAATAGATTTCAGAGGAACATTTCTGGGTAAAGAAAAAATAAGATTAAGAAACAGGTTGGAGAGGGTTTTCACGACTGCTGTAAAAAAGGCAGTCCCTGGGAGAAGGAGGGTGTTGGCTACTCGAGGGATCAATAGGGGGTTGAGGTAGGGTGGATGGGTTTTGGTCAAAGGAGGTCTACAGGTTCAAAGGCGTTGGCGTCTAACGGCGAACCAGGTTCGAGTACTTGCAATGAAACGTGTGAAGCAAATCACAGTGGTGACATTATGTACTGGAAGTAGGCATACATCGGTGTAAAACTCCTGTTGTGTTTTTAAAGAACCAATTAAACAACCAGATTGATTTATTCTCTCTTGAACATGCCTGTCCCTGAGGCACTCGTGAAGAGCAACCTCCCCATGGTGAGTGCTGGGTAGCGCGAATAACTCTTCCCACGTGTGGACCCGGGGTAGAATGTGTCCACAGCACCCCATTGCTGGATGTATGAGGCGACTGAATTGGGCAACCCGTTTGCCGTGGGTTGCGCGCCTCTGTCTGTGGAGGACGGGATTCTGATGGTTAAGGGCACTGGAGCCAGGAACCGGTGTTCTTTTGCCCAACACACCACTTCGACCCTTTCTTCACCTAGACGGGTGGTAGAATGGGCCCGATTCTATCAATCGGCTGGTCACACCATGCCCTGTTCATGCAAACTATTCATGCTGTCCCATGCCAGAAGGCGGTGGCTCATGGGCCAATCTGGTAATGTCAACCTCTGAATTCTGTATGTCTCCAGTTTTCTGTCATGAGCCGATCCAGTCTGGCATTTTACTTGGTAGACAAATATAGCTCTTCATGTCGTATTTACTGGAGTATACCACCCCTATGCCTGTATCCCTTGGGTTTGCACTTTGGAGATCCGCTGCACTACAACATCGTTTTTTCGACACTCCATGGTGGGTGGGGAGCAGGGGTGGGGAGCAGGGGTGCAGAACAATTTTCTTTCATCATGGCTCACAATCACTCTGGTTCGAAAAGAAGACATTTAGACTCAAGTTCATCTAATGAGGCTGAAACAAATCTTGATTCCTGGGCTCGATTCCTTGTAATCGAAGCTTCAAATCACCTACCCATCAAGTTAAATCCCTTTGTATCTCCAAAGCAATACAAGGACATTGTGGAGAAGCTAAAAATGTCACCCCACTCCGTACTGGATCACTTCTGGTTGAATGTGCTCGGAGACCACAATCGTTCAATCTCTTATCAATCAATCAATTTGCCAATATTGACGTTGTTGTTTCTCAGCACGGAACACTAAACTCTTCTCGTGGCATTGTCCATGAGTGGCGGATATCTCAGAGGAGGAAATTGTCTCTGAACTAAAGAATCAAGGTGTCCAATCTGTTGAACGTTTTACTAGCAAAGATGACAAATCAGACATTATTCCAACAAATACTTATCTATTTACTTTGCCCGTGCGTCAATTCCACAATCAATTAAAACAGGTTATGTTAACATCAGGGTGGATGTGTATGTCCCCAATCCACTCCGGTGCTATAGATGCCAAAAGTTTGGACATGGTTCAAAAACCTGTACTCGCCCTGTGGTTTGTCAGCGCTGTGGTGCCAACCATGAGAGCATTGTCATGAAGATCTGAAATGTTGCAACTGTGATGGCCTACACATGGCCTCTTCTAAATCCTGCCCTATTTGGCAAACAGAAACCAAAATCATGAAAAAAAATAGCGAAAAAAACCATTTCATTTGCAGCCACTAAACAACTTCAAATATGAATTACTCTGCTGCACTCGTCCGTCCTGTTAAAACTTCATCTGTCCTGTGTCAGACAGATTTGACATGTGTCAGATCTGATCAATCAGTCTAAACTTCATCTGTACTTCAACAACTATTTCAGAAGCATCACCTCAGTCTCAGTCTCTCCCTCAGTCTCAACCTCAGTCTCCACAAAATCCTGACCGAAAATTAAAGAAAAAAGAAAAGAAACGAAAAGTTTGAACAGAAGTCAAATGCCCAATCCTCAAATTTCGTCGGAGATATCTCCCCACAACTCCTTCACTGCCCTTGACATGGAGATTACTCTATCGTCTCACAGTAGTAGTATGAGTTCTTCCTCCTCACATTCACGTGAGAGATCACCAATTGAGCCACCATGACTCAATCATCAAATCTTATACAATGGAACTGTAGAGGACTTAGGAATAATTATAATGATTTACAACTTTTAATTCAAGATTTCAAACCATCAGCGATATGTTTACAAGAAACATACTATAAAGACACTGACAAATTCGATATAAGAGGTTATACATCCTACAATGTCTTTTCACTTCTTGGTGCTGAGGCCACTCGGGGTTCTTCAATCTTAACAAAAACAAGGTGTTATCCATAGCCCCGTCCATCTTGTAACCCCCCTTCAAGCTGTTGCAGTCCGTGTGACTTTGCACATTGTGTTTACATTGTGCTCACTCTATATCCCACCATCTTCTTCTCTCCGTCAGTCTGAACTTCAAGCTCTCGATGATCAACTCCCAAAGCCCTGTATTATTACGGGCGATTCAAATGGACACAATCCACTTTGGGGTAATGTTCAGACAAATAATAAGGGGAAGGTTTGAGAAGATTTCATTTCAAACAACGACTTGTGTATCCACAATGATGGTTCAAATACATATCTGCATCCCGGTACAGGTACTCTGCTCTTGATTTGCCAGTAACAGATTCTGATTTATTAAATGACTTTGAATGGTCCGTCCACGAAGACTTCTGTGGAAGTGATCATTTCCCAACCGTTTTAAAACCTGTCTTTCCTTCAGATGTTCCTCCTTCAACAAGATGGAACTTTACTAAGGCCAACTGGTCTTTGTTCGAAATACTTGCAGCCAATGAATTGAAAACCTGATTTCTTTCTTGACGCTACTGACCCTGTACAATTATTTTCTGATGAATTAAACAAAATCGCTGATGAAAGTCCTCTACAAATCCACACATCCGTAAACCATGGTTTAACGATGATTGCAAACAAGCTAGGAAGGCACGGGAAAAGGCTGAGCACTATTTCCGTCGCCACCCCATGTAGATAATTTGAATAAATTAAAAAAATTAAATGCTGAAGCCAGGCGTACGTTTAAACAAAACAAACGCCAATCTTGGTAAAATTATGTTTCCAAGATAAATTCTCGTACGCCCATGCCAAAGGTATGGAACATGATAAAGAAAATAAAAGGTAAAGGTTCTAAATCTAGCATACATCATCTTAAAAATGGGGACGAACTATTGACTGATAAATCAGATATTGCATATAAACTTGGTGAAACATTAGCAAAACATTCTTCTTACTCTAACTATATACCTCAATTCCAAAAATACCAAAAACAGCAAGAAAAGAAAATCATTAATTTCAAATCAGATAATTGGGAAGATTATGACGACATATTTTCAATACATGAGATAATATACATTATCACCTCCTGAAACATTTACCAGACTCATGTTTAGAAACCCTTCTACTAATTTTTGTTCATATCAGGACATCAGGTGAATTTCCATCCTCATGGCGAGATGCTTTAGTTGTTCTATTACCTAAACCAGGACGTGATCATACTGATCTTTCAAATTATCGTCCAATTTCATTGACTAGCGGTGTTTTCAAAACCATGGAACGCATGATCAATAATCGACTTGTTTGGTACTTAGAAACCAATAACCTAATTAAAAATATTCAATGTGGTTTCCGTAAAAA